GTGTGTGTGTGTGTGTGTGTGTGTGTGTGTGTGTGTAGGTTCACATGTATCACAAGGACTGTGGAGGTCAGAGAACAACCTCTGTGAGTCTTTGCTCTCCTTCCTCCTGGGATCTAACTTGGGCATTAGTTGGGGGGCAGGCACCTTTACCCACTGAGCCATCTCCTGGGCCTGATCAACATTTTTAGTTCCCCAGAAAGCTCTGTGCAGTCGTGCCTCTCCTCTGACTTCAGACTTAACGACTTTCTCTTCTGCTTGACTTGCTCAAACCCAGACACTGATTACAGAGACCAACTCATCTCTTGCCTCAGGGCTGTGAAACTTGTATTTCTTCCTTTCTTTCTGTAGAAATTCAGACTTCCTCAACCCTTTCAGCATTTTGCTGAGGGTGAAGTGGGGGGGCCAGCAGCTGTGGGGTGGGGCCTGGAGACATAGCTCCAAGCTACTGCCTTAACAGCCCCAGGAGCTCTTTTAAGAGACCTTTACTCCAGGAAAATCAGTGTGATGGCTACTCTTGGTTGTCAACCAGACTACATCTGGGATGAACTAAAATCCAAAACTAGAGGGTGTATCTGTGAGGGATTTCTGGTTAATTTGAAGTAGGAAGATGCACTTCTGATCTGGGTTTTTTTGAGGTAGGAAGACACACCTTTAATCCAGATCTTTTGAGCTGGGAAAAGACACAACTTGCTGAAGACTACATAAGGACATGGAAGAAGGAAGCTGTTGCTCTTTGCCTGCTTGTCCTGGGCTTCCAGACCACCCATTCCTTCCCTGGCATTAAAACCTACTTTTTCAGGATTCCCGCATCGACCCTTATGAGGCTGAGCAACTAGATTCTTGGACTTTCTGTTTACAGCCAGCCATTGTTGGACTAACTGGACTGCAGCCTTGTAAGTCATTCAAATAAATCCCCTTTATATATGTATATAGATTTATTCTATAAGTTCTGTTACTCTAGATAACCCAGACTAATATAGATTTTGGTACCAGAATTGGTTCTAGAGCAGCAGAATTATAACAGAAGTATAAGGATGAATCTTTTAAGTATCTGGAATAGGCTTTTCAATTTGTCAACACCTATGGTTACCAAAGCCTCTCCAGTTGCTTAAGCCTCTCCTGGGAGCTGGGAGAGTACTGAAAGCCCATGGTGTGAACTATATTGCAAACTTAAGGAGATAAATGTATTTGATTATCTTGATTTGCCAATTGTCCACAGCAATGGATTTGGTGATCCTGTATATGAGACTTGACAGTTTGAGGAAAAATAAGGAAAATGATGCTGGTTAGTTGATCTTAGCATCTCTGGATAAATTAACAAAGGGTAGGCATGAGCTCCATAATAAAATTAACCAACTTCCAGCATCTCAGAGTACAGTGAAGGACAGCAATGAATTTAGTGATAAAATTGACCTGCTCCACATTTGCATATCTAAAGGTTTCTTTTTTTATTTAAGAAATTTTTTTATTCATTTTACATACCAACCACAGATTCCCCTTTCATCCCTTCTCCCACTCCCCCTCAGTCTTCTTCCCCCCCACCCCTACCCCCTCCTCCAAAAGGGTAAGGCCTCCCATGGGGAGTCAGCAAAGCCTGGGACATTCAGTTGAGGCAGGACCAAGCCCCACCCCCTGCTTCACGGCTAAGCAAGGCATCCCACCGTAGGTAATGGGCTCCAGAAAGCCAGCTCATGCACCAGGGATAGATCCTGATCCCACTGCCAGGGGCCCCTTAAACAGACCAAGCTACACAGATATCTCCCATATGCAGAGGGTCTAGTCCAGTCCCATGCAGGTTCCACAGCTGTTTTTCTAAAAGTTTGTGAGTTCCCACAAGCTTGGTTCAGTTGTCTCTGTAGATTTCCCCATCATGATCTTGACCCCGCCTTGCTTATATAATCCTTCTTCCCTCTCTTCAACTGGACTCCTGGTGCTTGGCTATGGATCTCTGCATCTACTTCCATCAGTTACTGGATGAAGGCTCTGTGATGACAGGGTATTCACCAATCTGATTACCAGGGTAGGCCAGCTCAGGTACCAT